TGCCCTGAGGCTGGACTGGATGGGGGTTGGACTGAACTTGGGGCTGGACTACACTGAGCTGGAGCAGGATAGGCTGGACAGGTCAGGACAGATCAGATCAAGTCAGGATGTGATATGGTCTGTGATCTGCAGAGCTAGGCAGAACCGGGTTGACAGGGGATGTGACCAAGGCTGGTTGGAGCATTGAACACGAAGTGGTCTGACCACAGATTAAATGACATCTTTCATATCCAACACAGCCCCGGCGCTAACCGCCGTGCCGGCCCCGGTTCTGGACCGAACCTGACCCTGCCTGGGTCCCGGTCGTCGTCGCGGTCACGATGCTAATCCTGGCCCCGGCCCCGGCCCCGGCCCCCACCCAGCCCGGCCTGGCCCGCCCTACCTCGCCCCGCCCCACCCCGACCCGACCCCACCCGACCCGATCCGGCCCGATCCGACCCGATCCGACCCGATCCGACCCGATCCGACCCGATCCGACTCAGTTTAATTCAATCCTTTCTGATCCGATACGATCTGATCCGCTCCGATCCGATCCGGCCTGACGTGGTCTGGGCTTTCCCTCGGCCCAGCTCCAGTCCGCTCTCGGTCCGGACGTAAGGTCATTGTAACAGACCCGGTTTGTTTCGGACGCCGGCCCGGCCCAACCAAGGTACGGCAGACTTGGTTGGGCAGACCCGGCCCAACTTGAAAACGTGCTCTCACTTGAGCCGCAAAGCAGACCGTAGCAAGCCAGTGGGGCAGGGGAGGGCATCACGCTGTAGTTTTTAGCCAGGCTGCCGTCTTCAGTACTAGGTGTTACCATAAAGGCCTTTCGGCACTGGGTCAGATGACCGTCAGATCAGCTGACGGGCATCAGCTGACTCACGCCCCAGCCCGCGAGGAGGGCATTAGTAATCTGGACACCCACGCGTGCGGATCGCTGTCCCGATGAAATAGACGAGCCGAGCCGGGATCCAGCCCGTGGGAACGGAACACGGCGCGGTCTGCTTGCATAACGGGTCGTGTCCGTGAAAACGAGTCTTAGACGTAGTGACCTAGGTGCGGCCGTGCTGGACCACTCGCGTCAGGGATCAGTGACGGCGAGCAGCTCGAGCGCTCGGCGGCGCTGATGGTGCAGCGGTCCGAGCAGGCGGCGCAGCGGGAGGAGCGGCTTACCTTCATGCTGGAGCGGGTGCTTGCTAGCCAAAAGCGACCGCCAGCCGCAGCCGAGGGCAGGAGCGCAGCTCGTTAAGTGTGACACCCCCGGCCAGCTGCACAAAACTGAACATAACATATCAGTCATTATTTGGTGTGTTCATTTTAGCTTGAAACAATTAGCAGAAGCCTCATTGAAATTTTACATAATTTTGGGGTGCAATTTTAAATGACCTGCTTCTTTTTATCGCCAGAAGCCTGAGGAGAGGTCACGTTGGATGTCGGGAGGGAAGTGACCCACCCAAAATGCACATCGACACCTGTGACCATTGCGAATAAAGGAAGTTGCAAAATCCGCAAACAGAATTTCTTATCGGCACCATGAGATCAGTAACTTCTGCCCGTGCCACAATGTTGGTTGTCTGCGGCACTGCGCACAGCTGATGATGATCGCGGCTCGTGCGGTGGATGCCGGTATGGCCTCCACAGGCGTGGCCGCCGCTGCTGGCTGTGCTGCGGCTTGACCCACTGATGACTCGGATTCATTCCCCGCGATGGGCCTGGGTTGTTGACTGCTGAGCGGCCTGCTCAAAACTGGCCAGGCTTGGCGAACGATCCTCCGAAGCGGGGCGTTCATCATCCGCCGCGAAACTGATCAATTAGTTTTATATCAGCTCCGTGTAAAGATTCGCGCCTCCACAGCGTGATTCAGCAACCGGTGTGCTACGGACAAATTTCAATTTATTTGTTTTGCCTTCTTTGTAGACCAGTCCCCTGTCGTGTGCCTCTTTAAAGTTAGGTCTTATTTAGTTTAGCTCTGTTGGCGTGTCCTTTCCGGTCCCTTCCGACTGGTGGCTGGTTCCCGGATGGTGGACGCCGCGCCGAGGTCCTGCCACCGGTCGGAAGGGACCGGGGTAGTTCATGACCGAGCGACGCCAGGGAGAGGACGTGCGTGTCCCCTCCCTGGCCTGATCAGACAACATGACGTTATGGCCAGCAGTCAGCACGTGCGCTGGCTCAGCTCAGTCAAGAGATCCCGATAGGGGAAACAAATGCGTTGCTAACTGAACATACGGCCTCGTGTCACTATGGGGCCTCGCGTCTTTCTTCGTTTAACCAGATATCCTTACTGCACATGCCCTCTCCGGCCGCCGATCCATGACTGCCTTCACACAGGCGCATCGAGAGTGCGGAAAGCGCGGGGCGGCACGCTACAGGCCTCCCCACAGAATGGCAGTGACGCGGAGTCGAAAAGGAAATGAAAGGTGTCTATTGCCCTGGGAATGAACAGCCGGACTGCATGCCGGGCTCTCCGTGCACTTGTAGTTCCTTGGACTTCGATAGATGACGCTGATCATAACCAGGCAGCAAAAGCCGAGCTGAAATCACGCAGCGAGAGGGGGGGGGGGGGGGGGGGCAGGAGAGCATGATGCGCAATGGACGGCGATGGGTACGACGGTCGACAGCGTCCTTCTTGGTAGACAGCGTTGCTCCCCCAGCATTGGCCGAGCGCATACAGTCGACGCCAGTGCGAACACTACGAGCATGCGGTCGGTGGGTCGCATAGCAACAGATTCATTTCCCACGCCGGTGTAGAGGTGGTGTCGGATGCTGCTCGTCGGAGAAGCCGCGCTCCACTTGCAGGTGATCGTTGAATACGAGACGAGTACCGTGGAGTGGGGCGTAAGACAAGCGCGGAGTTGCTGTGAAAGCGTCGCAGCGTTGGATACGTGCGGAGCTGCTGTGAAAGCGTCGCAGCATTGTCTTTTTTAATTTATTATGCATTAAGTATATATTATATATCATATTATGTATATATTAAGTCTAGTTTCAGCGCGTAAACGTGCACCGGTCAAGTCGTGAAATAGTAACCCTGAATGGGGGGCCAAACGCATAAAAATACATCCAACAGCCAGTTTCTCAAAGCGAAAGTACAATCTTACGCCAAGTATTAATGTGTACTTTCGAATTTACAAACTACACATTAAGCCAGTTTCTCAAAGCTGTCACGTGACCTTTGTCGTAGTTTAGAAGTTGCCAATTGGCGTAGTTTTCCCCCTTGCATTTCGAAGTTCGTTACCATGGCTACGACGTCTGTTGCCGTGGCAACGCCGGCGCCAGGCGCCGAATGAAATGCCAAGTGTTTTATAGTCACTCATCTATTTTCGACACAGTCGTTACGAGTTTATGGTGTGTTAAAGATGAGTTCGCGGGTGATTCTACGCAAGAAAAAAGCCCAGCTTTTTAGAGAAATTCGGGACAGGGAGGACGCAAGTATCTTTTTCAGATAATCAGGCTTAAAAACATTCGTGCCATTCTGGCTTAAGTACATTCGTCGCACAAGTAATTCTAAACATCTAGTAAAAGGTATCCTGGAAATGTGTGCGTTGTGTAGCCCTCTCATTGAACATTTTGTCAAGAACAAATTGGCGTGCACATTCAGAAATGTTCCGAAGCAAACTTTTACCGGCATTGTAGCTGTCCAACATTGCTTCTTAATTCTGGGTGGGAAGGGTCGAACACAAGCCTATTCTAATCATGACACACTCAAGAAGTGATGGCCGTGAATTACGTTACGCTTTGGCCATTTCCCGTTTGAACTGCTTTAATTTCCCATTTTAATTGCTTTGCTAGCCCGGATTGCTCAATAAACACGTGATGTCCCTACACCCTGCAGATACTTTTCGGACGATTCCAGTCCTGCAGTGGCCAGGCCAGGCGGCAGACTAGCTGGGATGCCGTGCTGGACCTGGCCAAGCAATTGGCCTGGTGAAGGGCAGCATGGACGCCCGTGGCTTCCGTCACGGGCTCTATGCCAACCAGCTGCGGTCCACGCGAGGTAAGACCTGCACAAACTGCTTGCTGCGTAAATTTAAAAAACCACCATGAGATATGTGCGCATCGCTGTTGCCTTGATCAGCACATACCAGTGACGATTGCATCTGGCCATTGGCACAGCTGGGCCCTGATTGCTTGATTTCACTACAGGGCCAGGACTGCTCTGACACTATCACTGAAATAAGGGCTCCGCGCCCGAGCGTAGGGCAGGTCCTCTGCCAGAGTGACCCGCACCACTCGCTGTGAAGGCGTCTGTTTCGTCACTGTGCTCACTTGATTGCCTTGCGCGGCGGCTGTCGTCTGCTCGCAACGGCGCGGCCGCCTGGCAGCTCGCGAGAGCGCATTTGTCGGCTGTGGCCTGAAACTGCTGCAATCGGGGCGGGGCTGATCCACTTGATCTGCGTGTTCATAGATACTGTGCTTATGGTCCTGAACAACAACCACGGATTCGCTATGATTGTTAGTTTATTGCTAGTTGGGTCAAATGAAGCGCACCGCCAACCACGCTTTAGCAGGGAGGTGGCGGAAATAGCCCACGCCGCCACAAATAATTCACATTTTCAAATAGTTCAGATGAAACCTGCAAATGAGCAGCACTATGTTGTGGTGAGAATAGTGAATATGTCTGAATTGTTAACTTAAGATTTAATTGATAGTGACGCAATAAATTGGATGATAAGTACATGGCACGGCGATGGCAAAATTTAGCCTCCGGGCCGCTCAGGATGTTTGATTCTTGGGCGATAACGGCCGGGGGCAAACGAGAGGGGAGGGGGCGGGGGAGCGAGATCTATGCAGGCTTTGTGTTGGGTGACTGGAAACAAATCGCGAAAGGTAGGCCATCAGGCCCCTATCTAGCAAAGAAGCGGTGACACGAGGGAAAACACCGACTGTCTCATAAATGAATCCATTTAACAGGACTTCCTGACCCCACGAAAGCTGAGGTCAGGACGGCTAGCTGAACGGCACTAGGCGTTAAACAGGAATACTCCACTGCGTCAATTTGTCGTCCACAGAAAAGCGCGATCGCCTGAGACGAAGTGGCGCCGGTGGCGACGACCGGCTGGATGGGCTGGATGATGTCGTTCTCGACATAATTGGTAGGTATTACCCGTTCATGCTTAATATTGCTGGATGCACACCACCGTTAAGTGGGCAGCATACGTCCAGGGTTCGCGAGGAAGATCGGATGTGTCGCCTCATCGACATAGTGATTGCAGATAGCCTTTACCCGCTGTGCTGATTTAAAATAATTCCAATGTAAATTCCACCGCGGTTTCAGGCAAAGATGCTGACGAAGACATCACGGCGGTGCCGGGTGCCTTCATATCAGTGCAAGAATGCAGCAATGATCGCCGCTTGCTGGAGGTGCAGAAGCAATCGGCATCGCCACCAATGACGGCACCCACCGACCCTGCAAAATTTCCGATTAATTTTGGCAAAAAACGCAGCCTGATGCCAGACACGGATGCCGAGTCGCTCCATCCGTCCCCAACAACAGCCGCAGACCGGTGGAGGCGAGCGCACCCGCCCCGCGCGGGAGGTAACTGCCACGCCGGCTGGTCCCAGCCAGGAGGAGAGAGCGAGTCTCCGCACTCGCAACCACGCTCTTTTGGCTATCCCAGACTCGGACCGAACAGACGAGGAAAGGGCGCGAGTGCGGACCATAAACGAGAGCCGTTTGCTGGAAATTTTGGTACAACGCCTCGAGGCCGGCGGAGACATGCCCAGTGCGGCATTTTTGGACCTTGTCATGGGCTCATCAAAATTATCATTTTAAATTCCGCTGTCACGCTCCTGGCTTGGTTTTGTGGGGCTGGCATTTACCTTCCGCGCGTCACGTGTCAGTTGCCCACCACTGGTCTGGTTCTGTTGTTGGTTGTGGTAATGGAGCGACTTTGCATCGGTGGCTGGTAAATCACGCTCTTAACGTTATTGAAGTATTTTTGGCATGTCATGTCTTGTCTCTTTTGAAAATACTGGGCTTTGCGACATTTGTTGGTAGTAATGGAATGTGAGAACATTTGTTAGTGCGTTGAATATTTTTGCCAATGAAATGCAATAAAAAAGCATGTACTGCTTGAGTTACTGCCCTCTCATGTGGCCATATGTCTTCGGTGGCGGGGATGATACAGGCATTTTACGAACAATAACGTATATCATATCAACAAATAACTCAGATTTTATGATATATAAATGAGATATTCTAACACGCAAAGTTTTCCTGACACATAACTAACATAACGCATGGACTGGCCCCTATCGCCGAAAAAGCCGCACTAGCTCGGCGCGTCTGGCAAAGCCAGCGCGTCTTTGGGCTACTGCGTCCCGGCCGACCGGCTCCCCTTCCGTGATAGGATCGTCTTCAACGTTGTCTTGTTCTGCGGGCAGAGCCGCCAGCCCGTCTAGCAGCCATGCGCCTTCATCCCCAGCCGACTGGCAAAGGTTGTGTAAGATGACTCACGTTCTGGAACAGCGTAAACACTATGAGAGTCGACACGATGACAGTTCGGAACTTATGACCACACACGTCATGGTAAGGAACGCAAGCACATAGATAGGAGAGAGCGTGACTTCCCCCCCCCCCCCCCCACATGTTCTCTCGTCGAATATTTCGGTATTCACCCGATGTTTCCGGTAGAGGAGTGTACATGCCAGAAGTCCATATGATTGTAATAAGTCGGTGAAGTTCTATTCACACACTGCATGATCAACTCACTGAAATGTGCTCACGAAGTGTGCGCTTTAAATTTCCCCTTTCGGGTTCAGGATAAATTAATTTGTTTTTAAATAACACACTCACACGATGACTTTGATTGACGTCTCGATCTTGCGTAGACGCAGCTTCTTGCCATGTGAAGCTGGGAAGCGCATCTTTAATGATACGAAAGCATTTTCGACTATGACCCGTGTTTTCGAATGCCCGCTGTTGTACCTATTGGAAGCAAATGACATTTGCGTTTAGATTACAGAATACCGGTTAAAATATAGACGCGTTTGCTTTAAGAATACGACTATGAACGAACATCTGTGAATAACGGCGATGCTTCATTTGTTATAAAGTATTTACGGGCAATGTTGATATATGATATAACGTGATGGTTGGATATCAAAGTCCAAAGTCCTTCTCTCGGCGTCTGTTGCCGGCAAAGCAATCGGAGTCATCAGCCAGGGGAGGCAGGGGTAGGCGCTGTCCCCCAGAAGCAGCCCACCTGGCATTGATTGGCCGCTCGCGAAACTGAAAAGAGGTCAACGTTTTTTAAAGTTATGCGCGGGCCATGTTTAGGCATTGCCACCACGTAGCGGTTGGCCCACGCGATACGGATACAGATATGTGGAAATGTTCCTCCAGGACACATCACAGACACTGGTGGCATACCAAAAAGAGGCGGCATATTTGGAATGTATGGGTGACGGCATATTTGGAATGTATGTATGGTTATTGTCGTAAAAAATATTTATAGCTGTACCTATGTACTGGCTCATGGCTTTTCTCATACTGGATTTTCTACTCATTATATGTCTACTATTGGCTTTTCTGCTAGTTATTGGCTTGTCTACTCATGGCTTTTCTACTACTCACAACTCCGGGAGGCCCAAGGTACGCATTACGCGGGCGTCATGGACTCGCCCGGTGGCGTGCGCTTCTGTTGCCGAGAATTGACGGTTCGATCCGGCATCAGCCATCAAGTTCAGGCTTGTTTGTCCTTTTCGGTTCACATACGCATTTTCTGGGCTGGCAGGCACCGTCACGCTAATATGCGTGCCGTCGGTGCATCCTAGAAGACATTGATGCGTCACCAGCTCACACCGTTGTACTGATGACATATGACCACAAATGCAACCTCCAATGTAATGCAACATCGGTATGCGTAGCCCCCTGCCCCCGTCATAGGCGGATCCAGGGGGGGGGGGCACGGTTATGCCGCCCAAAAAACCTCTGAGAGTATGTTTTGCCCCCCCGAAAAAATTATTTCCAGAACTTTCGTCTACCTACTTTCTACTTTTCTTTACTACTTTCTACTTTCTACCTACTACCTACTTTCTACTTTCTTTCTTTCGTCTACCTACAGAACTTTCGTCTACAGAACTTTCGTCTACCAGAAGTTTCGTCTACCTACCGTCTGTTTTAATTTCACTGTTTTAACTGTTTTGTTTTAACTTCTGTTTAAGATTCAAAAGCATTTCGGTGCTTTTTTCGGTTTTGATGATGTCCCTACTAGGTACTCGCGAGAGGCACCACGCACTGGACCTCGGATCCCACACCAGCCAGCTGGCGACGAACGGTTGCCCCCCCCCCCCAAAAAAAAAACTCCAGGCTAGATCCGCCTCTGGCCCCCGTAGACATTGTAAAATCGATTGATGTTTGGAAGTGGGATGTCCCGTGTGCAGGTCAGAATGGGCCCTCAGCTTTCAATAATGTATTCTCTACGGCTCATCACAGGCCCTCTGCAGGCCAGAATGGGTCTCTGAAGGCTGTGCTGGGCACTTCAGAAAGGTCCTGTTCGGGGACCACTGCGCGTGCATATCTACGACCAATGGCTTTAGTGGCACCATTCACCGTGCATCTAAGAAAAGGCTTTGGTCAAAATTAAATTAAGACCCAAGGTGAGGTGGCAACTTTTGAGGGTGAGACAAAAAATTTGGAGTCACACATTTCAATTCAATACGAACGTGCCCACCACGTGCGGTCGGGCGAACGCTACCGTGCGTCAGATTTCAAGGACACGTCATGCCCGTGAGCCAGTTCGTAACTTAATTGCAAAAGTTTTTCAATCGAGCAATTCCTATGCATGGGTTAATATTCGCAAAATTTTGCACTGAAGCATAAAAAACGATTCTGAAAAATATCTGGCCATTTCAGTTAAGAAGCACTGAAAGGTGCACAATTAGCGTTACCATGAAAAGTCACGTCAATCGACGAACGGGAGCAGACTGGCGCCATTACTGCGAATTCCTAGCAGTTATGGCAGCAGTGGTGTGTCGGGGGGGGGGGGGGGGGCAGCATTTCAGGAAGTCTCTAAGGTGTAGATAAGGAGATAGCCGTAAATAATTTCATTTTGGTGTCGACTATGTGGTGGTTTTGGGTGCACCAGATGCATGTGTTCATTTGGCGCCCAACCTTTGCTCGCAGGTACCAACGGCAAGCAGAACCGGTCTGCAGTCAACCATTTACGACGCATGATCACAAGCAGCCATCGGGGTTGTGGGGAAGGAACCAAGCAAAGTGCATTCCAGACATTCGAAACGTTGAATGACGTTCAGAATGTTCAATGTTGAACACCGATCACGTCGGGCAGCCCATGCATCCGAAAGAACTTCTCTGTCATGATCTAAAGCTGGGGCTGCTACGACCAGGCAATTGATTTGCCAAATGCATGTACTAAGGCAAATGCTACTCTTCAAATGCAGGGCACACAGTAGCCTTTGAAGGCCCATGCCCATCGCCAGTCAGTAGGTAGAAGCCTCCTGTAGCAAAGAATCTGGAAATGAAGACAGCAGTGTAATTGGCATGTCAATATAATCCATTTTACAACCACGCGATAGCAAAGCTGCTGGATGATGCAGGATATTATTACCTAAAAGAGCAAATTAAAACCAGCTTATATTTACATATTGTGCAACACCAAGTGCATCAAAGGATAGTGATTTCAAGCAGCAATGCTTGGAGGTAGGTGGAATTTGGTGCTCATGAATCATAATGCAGTGCCAATATGCAACATATTTACCTCAATGCCAGAAGGAACTTCATGAGGGAGCGAAGCTCGACCCCTTCCGGTAGGATGGGCCAGTTGTGGTCCTACGTGACCAAGAATAGTTTCAGCCATGTTGGCTGATATCCTGAGTCTCATCCTGGGAAATAGATGCCTTGCAACTATGGGTTGCAATTAGGCATGTGTAGCAAGTGTCAGTGTATAACTTAGGTTTCTGTAACGAATGTTCAACGTGCCAATGAATTAGATTGTTTCACAATCATTGTCATTTCACATGATTTGAGTCTTTGTTGCAAATACCACAGAGGACTCATAACTTACCTAAAGCTCTCAGCTACTTGCCACGTAAGGTTCATCCTTGGTCTGTATATCCTTGGTCTTCTTCCCCTGGGTTGATGATGTTGCTCCTCCATTGTTCACTTAGCTAATGCTTTAACTTCAACTTTAACTTACTTAATGTTTCTTGAAATGTACAGGGAAATGAGGATCTCTTGAGTACTGTACAGAGAACTGACAGAATGCCGAAAACACGCAAGCTTGGGTGTCGTTGATTATGTTGCCAAATATGGCCTTCCTGCATCAGAATGTACGCTGTGATGTAATTTGTGTATGGCTATGCGAAACTAATGCAAGATTGTTTGCGTGCATTTGTGTCACAGATTGTACATTTTCTGTGTATTTTTTGAGTGCCGTAGATTGTAGTTGTAAGTTGTACATTTTTGTTTTGAGAAATTGGATTTTACGATTGCACCCAAAAATACACGATGTACGTCAGAAATCTACGAATTTCTGTCTTGAGAAACTGGCTACAAGTTGTCAAAACATGGCTGCTGTCCTCTACGGCTGTCCATTCACTTCCCCGAATCGGTAACTCATAAAGCAAAGAAGCAGTTTCGCCGCTGACGAAGCAGCAACGGTGAGCCTGTCTCCCGAGCTGGGAAAGATTAGGGTCAGAAAAAGCATGTCCGGAAGGCTTAATGCCCGGAAGATCTGTACGTGGAATACCCACACTTGGATTGCCCCCGCTCAGGAGACTTCGGAAGAACCTTCTACTGCTCCAGATGAGACCCTGAAAGGAGATGGGGCGAATAACGAATGTGGAGCGCTGGGGGCGAATACCGGGGGGAATCAAACCTGCCCACACCGTCACGTGTGGGCTGGGCGGCACACACTAACTGATTGAGCTCCGGTGACGTTTCTGCTTCTAAAAGTCCCACCAGTCCAAGAGGAGGCACTGATTAACAGGTCATGAGATCCCGCCAGGCTAATAGATGGCTGTGCTTAGTTTCATATATCTATGAAGGTAGTTTGAAAAGTGGGCGAAATCTGAGGACACCTTCGGTTTTTTAGACATGCTCGCCCTACAAGGGAAGTCGGTGACAC